GCCCCGCCACACTCCCAAGCACCGCACTCTACCGAGTGCGCCACCGGACTGGCCCTAGTGGAGTCTTTTAAAGCCTTGTAGTATATCAGAATATTGTACAACCCAGTCAAGAGCAATCGTAGGAAGCTCTGGGAGGAAAGCATTTCCCAGAAGACAGTGGAAACCTGGCCTGTCAGGGTGGCATGGTGACCAGCAGCCACCCGTAACTCAGGTGCCCTGGGTGCTGGTTGAGAAGACGTCTCAGGCTCAGGGTTGTCTCTGGCCCCTGTTTGTTTTCTGCATCTCTTTGTCATTTGGGCTGTTCTTCCCCGAGGTTGACCACGGGCTCCAACAAGGTGCCTGAACACCCACAAGAAGCAGAAATCAGTATGTTTTCCTAAAAAAAAAAAAAAAAAAAAAAAAACAATCAGAGGGCTGGCCAGTTTGCTCACTTGATTAGAGCATGGTGCTCATAACACAGAGATCAAGGGTTCGGATCCTCATGCTGGCCAACCACCCAAAAAAAGAAAGAAAAAGGAAAGAAATCAGTACATTTTCCTGATACCAGTTGATCCACGCAGGATCCATGTATTGATCACTTACTGTGTGGCAGGCACTGTGGTCGATGCCAGGAACACCAAATGAGTGAGACCCTGAGCCCGGCCCAGCATGAGCGTGGAGGTGAAGCCGAGCTGTGGCCGGGCCTCGCGGCTGGGAGCCAGTGAGCCACCACACCGACCCCGACGGGGTCAGGGAGAAGGGGACGGGTCCATGCGTTACCCGCGTGTGTCCACAACCACACGTGTGTGCAGACACACTCTCGTTCTCCCACCCTCCTCCCTAGCCCTCATCCAAATCTCTTTCTTTTCCAAGCCCCTGAACTCTTTGGGGTTATAGGTTTTGTTCAGAGGGGAGCTGGGGAAGGTGCGGCGTATTCTGTTTGGACTGGGTGGGATGTTCAAAGAGATGGGAGTTCAAAAAATAAATAAATAAAGAGTGCCTCTTAGGAGAACCAAAGGGCATAACTCTCTGGTCCTTAAAAGAGAGCCAGAAACTTTAAAGAAGGATTCACATGAATGGCACTTGAATGAACCAGAAAAAAATGAAGTATTCCCTCAACCAGCTGGTGGGTGTGCAGTTAGTTGTGTGACCAGATTAAAGCAGTGTCCCTGGAGCCGTTTACTGTGACAGTGATCTGCCTTGCATTATGAAAAAGGCCTCTGATTGATGACCTGGATAAATCTGAATGTGTGTTTTAGAAATCTTATGGTAGGTCTATTAGTAAAGACTAGATTCTTGATGATCATACATTTTGGATTTTCCAAATCTTTCAGAGCACAGTCGTGAGGCAGGTTTAGTGTGTGGGTGCCCGCTGGTTTCATTCACCAGAAAGCAGAGCAGTGAGAGAGAAGGAGAGGAAAGGGATCCTCACCACACCCAAGCCAGGTCCCAGTAGAGGCCAGAATCTGCGGGTGACTCAGATTCCCTGGAAAGGGGGAGAAGCTCCTGGGGCCCCAGTGGATGAAGCACAGGGCAGCCCTGGATGTGCTGACAAGCCCAGTGCCCAACCAGGGCCGTCGGTAGGCAGAGGAATTACGCCCGTGCTAGGAGGGGCCTTGGGGGTCACCAGGTCCAAGCCACCCCCCTTTGCAGATGAGAAAACTGAGCTCCAAAGAGGGGCGGTGCTCACCCAGGGTCACCCAGCAAGTGGCTTCTCACCATGTTGCTGCGTGATCTAGAGCAAGTCTCTTTCCTTCTGTGGGCTGTTTGTCTGCACAGGGCAGTGGGGTGGCTCCGAGGCTTCCCAGCCCTGACATCGTGGAATCCCAGACTCACCTCTGCCTCTGTTTCACTTTCCTGAGCAGAGCTGAGGACTGTCCCTGTTGGCTCCCAAACCAAGGAGAAGCTCTCTCTCCTGTTTAGTCTGGAAGGCTGGGATA